GTTCTTCTGGACAAAGCCATGGTGGTGGGGCCGAGGTAGAGGCAGTTAGAGGCCAAGAGGGGAGGGTAGTTGTGGGTAATCAGGCTGGTGGGGAGCGGGGCCATTGGGGGTAAGCAGGCTGTCAGTGGAGGTCAGTTGGAGTTGATCAGGACAGCAGGGGGTGGCAGTTTGGAGTGAGCAGGCCAGCAGGGGGGTGGCAGTTGGGGGTGGGCAGCCTGGCAGGGGAGGCAGTTGGGGGCGAGCACACTGGCACAGGGGGCAGTTGGGGGTGATCAGGCTGGCAGGTGGGCATTTGGGAGCAAGCAGGCTGGCAGCGGGGGGGGCAGTTGGGGGTGAGCAGGCCGGCAGGCAGAGTGGTTAGAGGCAATCAAGCAGGCAGGCAGGCAGGTGAGCGGTTAAGAGCCAGGAATCCCGATTGCGAGAGGGATGTCCGACTGCTGGTTTAGGCCCGATCCCTCTAAACTGGCAGTAGGACATCCTTTGAGAGGTCCCAAATTGGAGAGGGTGCAGGCCGGGCTGAGGAACACACACTCTCCCCGGGCACGAATTTCGTGCACTGGGCCTCTAGTTAGATATATAAAAGGCTAAGTTGACTCACGTATGTGGGATACATATAAAGTGTTGGCACCAATTGCATGCATGTGTTTGCATCTGTCATTGTTGATCGTGAATTTGGTTGACACTTCTATTATGGAGAAAGGGCGAATAGCGATATTACAATATTTCTTCTAATTAATTTCCTTTCAGTGTGCACGAATCCGTGCACCAGGCCACTAGTAAGGAAAATAAACCACAGGTACCACCCACTGCGAGCCCACAGCTCACGGGCACAGTGCACAGCGGGACGCATTGCAAGTGTTACCTCCCTCAATCCTCACTGAAGCCACTGGGAGGCCCCCTCCAGCCTCGGAGTCACTGCCCAGGGTCCCAGCAGAGGGACCGGCAAGCCCAGCTCTAAACTACCCGCGGGCAGCTGCGGGCTGCTCTTTTCTATTTATTTTTTTTTTTAAATATATTCCCACTGATTTCAGAGAAGGGAGAGGGAGAGAGAGAAAAACATCAATAATGAGAGGGGAATCATGGGTTGGCTGCCTCCTGCACAATCCACACTGAGGATGGAGCCTGCAACCAAGGCCTGTGCCCTGACCGGGAATCGAACTCTGACCTGGTTCACAGGTTGATGCTCACCACTGAGCCACACCAGCCGGGCCTGTTTGCTTATTGACTAACGACAGCCCCGCTTTCTCGGTGACAGAGGACTTGTCACGTGACGGTGCTGTCCTCTCGCCCACGGCAGAGCTGGGGTCCTCCTGGAGCAGGGGGTCCGCCCTGGACACTGGGAAGAGCGAGCTTTGGGCGGGAACTGACGCGTGGGAACCCTCCCTCCCGCAGGCCAGCGAGGTGCGAGATGTACCTAACAGAGGAGGAGGCCATGAGCCTGCTGTGCTCCCTCTCGGAGGCGAAGAAGATGAAAGTGGACATCAAGCGCCAGTTGTGGTTGACCATTGGGCTCATGGGCGCCGGGGCCTTAGTCGGGAACCTGGTCGGGGGCCCGCTGGGACAATGCATTGGTGAGTGCAGTGCCCCGTGGGATGGGGGACAGAGGCCCCGGGTCCCCAGGGCAGCACAGGAGCCTGCGACCTGCGTGAGGGGCTGGCGAGCTGAGCCTGAGACTCGGCCTTTGTGCACAGACGTGTCCGGTGGGACACACGTGTCTGTGTCTCAGAAGTGCAGGGCGCCCTCCTGTGGCTCCGTGCGCCCTGTCCAGGGGTGTGCCCTGTGTCCCCTGGGCAGGCCCGGTCCTGTCTTCACTGCAGGGTCAGGAGGGAGCTGGGGTTCCAGGCCTCTGGCCGCTCATGTTAGCTGTTCAGAGAGCGCCTGACCCCACCCCGGTCCCCAGTCCCCGGTCCCTGATCCCCAGTCCCCAGTCCCCAGTCCTCAGTCCTCAGTCCCGATCCCCAGTCCCCAATCCCCAGTCCCC